TTTTTTTTTTTTTTTTACTGTAATCTCTTTCCGAGTTTCACACTGTGATTCATCTTCTGTTAGTGATTCTGACTGGGGCTCCAAGCATTTCAAAGGCATTGGGATGGTATTTTGTACAAAGGAGTTCATCTAAAATAGATGATTTCCTGTTTGTCCCTTCATTTTTTTCCTCTCTGCTTTTTCTTATTTTGTCTGATCTATTTCCATGTGAATAATGTGAATAACCATGTTTTTCAAAAAATTGCATACTCCATTATTTTTTTTCTTTTGACAGTTTGAATGTATTGTTCATTATGGGTGCACTGCTTTGAATAAAAACATCTTCTAATAAATAATAATAAATAAATGTAAATATATATATGTGTGTGTGTGTGTGTGTGTGTGAGTCTCAAGTCTTCCTGTGCTCTACACAGGCCTCTGACGTCTGGCCTCCTCCCTGCTAATAGTAATAACCCACCTTCTCCCTGCCCCCATTTATCTGTCTTGCCCTCCGAGAAAAACCCAGTAGGAGAGTTCAACAGATAATTATCCTACAACTCTCTTGTACTCTACGCTGAAAACTATTAAAAACTAAATTCAATTAAAATCCTTTGAAAGTAACAAGTTACAAAATTGGAATTGCTGTAAAAAAGGAGGGGGAGGCTGGTGGGTTAAAGCAATTATCAAGACATCCACTAGGTATTTGTCTGTGGTGGACAGCTAATGGCTTTGCATTTATAAAAGGCTTAATGGCCAAAAGCGGCACAATGCAAATTCCTCTGTTAATTTTCTAAAAAGCTTCGTCTAAAGCCACCCATCGAGCAATAAATCTGATTATGGAAATGAACCAACACCTACATGTGTCATGTTTATCCTAAAGGGTGGATTAGTAGCCAATGATATATTCATGCTTTGTCCTCCTCCGACAGCCATTCAGATAAGTAAATAAGAATTCCACAGTGAATTCTGATGATCTCAACAAAGTAATAAGCTTTGCTGCCTAACGGCAATACCGGAACTGTCTCAAGTGCTTCCTGTACTAACATATATAATCAAGGAGACAGTCATGATGAGTGTAATTGATTGTGCTATTAAGCTATTGTGTGTGTGTGTGTGTGTTCAAGCACAGATTACATTTCAATCATTGAAGGTCAGTGTTGGCTCATCATCTGCTTACATTAGCAGACTGAGTGTCTCTCTGGAAGATATTTCCATTATGGTTAAACCCCCACAATTTCCTGCTGTTTTGTGAAAAATGCTGTACTATTGTTCAGGTCTGACTGCATTTGAAGCCCTATGTGTTAAGCCTTGAGTTCAAAAGCAGACAAAACCATTGTCAATTAAATTTTCAACTAATTATCTTACATCTAGTGTTTCATCCCTTGCAGCAATTCAGCATGAGAGAGGAAAATAGAGAAAATGAAAGATCCAGGGCCAGACAGACAGAGCGAGTGTGCATGGAGGACAGAGGAGGGGACACCAGGGACAGGGTTTGATCCAGACAGAGCTTCAGGCAGACCGTCTAAACCCACCTCTTTTATCTTCATCAAAAGAATTCATCAAGCTCACAAAAAATCAGAATGTAAAAGAAAATATGACTTTACTCCAGATATAGAAGAGGGTTAAAGATAGAAAGAAATGAGGACGCTAATAAGGTCTATTAATTGTGGTTATCTCACCAATGTTTAACTGCTAATAAACTGATAAGGATCACTTTTACTTAACAGCTGAAGCATGACATTATGTAACAAAATATATTGCTGTTGTGATGGGGATGTTCATAAGAGTCACAGAGCTGTGTACTGTGGAAGAAATGTAAACAGGTGTAATGCAGATATAGATTCAGGCACCAAACCGCTGAAGTGATTGACACAGCTTTCATCCCCGACAAGCTGATTTAGTTGGCACTGAAATTATGTCACTGGAATTCTTCCTGTCTATATTTATAATATTTATTAATTTATAAGCAGATTTTCGAGCTGTTTTAATGACCTTGGAACATGAGAGATTTTGCTAAGTCATGGTAATGCTAATTCTTATATGGAAAAAAATAAGCAGTACAAAATACTTGCTCTTTAATGCACCACTATTGAACTTGGGGCTCGCTTGTGTTTTAAATTTGTAATATTAGGTTATCATAAATTGCTACATAAGAGTTTTGAGCTGGCTAAGGGATCATGTTCAGCCTACCTCTCACGTCGGCTGAAAACCTGGCAGAGTGTCGAGAAACAAAAAGCTTCAACTCCTGGTCCAGGTTACAATCAATCAGGTTTGTGTCCCATGACCGAATTCCTGCAAACCAGAGGGAAAAGTGTGAAAACACGAAAAGTGTTGCACTTTTTACAGATCATGAAGAGATCATGAACATACTTTACTGTACACTGGATCAGTCTAAAAGGGGAGGTATTCAAATCAAAATCAGATTGGGTTTCAGATCTTTCCTGTATATTGAATTGAAGACCAGTGTCACTAAATTCACGTAAGTAAATGCCATGCTCTGTTGGTTTACACCCAAAAGTCAATCAATGTATGGAAATATCTATGAAATGTTCTGAGACTGGACGTCTGTGCTAATTCTCTTTATGATCAATGGTTAGCCAGAAGAGAAATTTTGTGTTGAAGAGGACATTTCTCGAAAATTAGAATGTAGTGCTATCTGCCTCTGAATGGTAAAACGTTAAGAAGGTTGTTCACACGGTTCATGACAAACATGAGCATGATACTTACTCCCCTCATGGGATCACAAAAGAATATTTCTCCTAGCTATATTTCCTCTACCACACACAATTCATACTGTATGCCTTCAAGGCAAGTATAATAATATACTGCTATTACAATGGTGACTTTATGGTTTCCCTTATGAAGCACTGCTTTGCTTTTTTTCACCTCCATTTCTGGCTTGATTATTTGGTTGTTTAAAATTTAGAAGATGCCAGATCTCGTTTACTCACAAAGTTCCACAAAACAATTGCACAGGTATTGTTTGATTTAATTTCAGTGATTAATACAATACAAAAAAGTAGTTTTGTTTATTACAGTAAACAGCAGTAAAACTTCCAGTAAAGTGAATCTTGTAACAAGTAAATCTAAGAAAAACCGTGCATTGTTCAGTATCATCAAAGTGATGATATGAATGATTCATGAGTGAGCCTATGCCTACTGGAAATAGCCTATAGGGCAGTTCTATCTACACATCACAAAACTTTTAATTAATAGCGTTTTATTCAGAAGTGCAATACATTTTTAAGCCAATACATGTAAATGTAGCCTATAGTATTTTGTAATGTAAATTATAATTAGATTATAAAGACTTGTTTATAAGTTAAATCATGGCTGCATTGCAACAAGCTCAAAGGGACACATACAATTAGGCTACAATAAACACCCTTACTAATAAGATGTCATTAAAAACGCAATATGTGCCTACATAGGCCTATTATTGGATCAATTAGATGTAGGAACACGTGACTACATAATTCGGAGCAGGCGAATCTGTTTATATATATATATATATATATATATACAAACCGTTGAACAGAACCGGTTCGCGGAAATCAATCGAGTCCCACTACTAACTGAAACGCCCTTTTTGGCAGGAACGCGGGGCCCTTCTGACTTTCCGTAGGGACTGCAGTGCGGACCGCGCCACGCCTACAAGCCGGTGTCGTAGGCTACTAGAAAGGAGTGAGTATGGAAATAAATCGGGATGCGCAGCCAGCAACAATGTCTGTAGGTCTGGTGAAGTGGACAAAAGTTATGGCTTTTGCCATGCAACGCCACTTTTGCTAGTTATACAATACAGTTAGCTATTTAATACGATTAACTCATTCAGTGATAAACTGAATTAATTATTTACTGAAAATAACTCTCGTGGTTATTTAAGGTGATTCCCGCATGAATCGCAAAAACAAGATAAGAAGATAGTAAGAAAAACACGAGCTAAGGAAACAAAGAACTGGCGCGCCACATCAAAAATCCACGCAAACCCAAGGTGATGGTGCACATCATGACTGCAGAGCCGATCGATGCTCCATATAACGACCCTCCACCCCGCAAAACAAGCGATGCGCCTTATTGATCGACAGACTATAAATATGCATGCTGAATCATCCTAGCCCACGACAAAAGTCAGACACTAAAGTTCGTCATATGACCAAAAACAACATCTGGATCATCAGATAGAGCTGCACGCCCTGCGAAAACAGTGATGGTGCTGATGGTGATGGTGCTGATGTCTTTGGGAAACGGGGTGGCGCGATGCGATGGCTTTGATAAGACATGCATTGCACTCGCCAGTTACTAACAGGGAGGGGCTGCGCTACAGTTTCCATCCTACATATTCTCACAACAAAGAAATCCAATAAAATGATGCATGGAAAGTTTCTTGCAGTCAGCAGAAATGTGTGGCTAGATTCCCCCATTCAAAACACCTATAGGCTATTCAAGGTTAGACTATTGAACTTGAAAAGGCAACTGCAGAAGGCATACGCGTCCAGGCATAATTTAAAACAGATTCATGGCATAAATAGCACTAAAGCACTGCACGTTATTCGTGTCAGCTGAGCTACCTTTCTCAATGTCCGCAATGGCACACTTCAGATGCTCGTCGGTGACCAGCTCCCCGATGACCACCAGCAGGTAATATTTGCCCTCGTCGAAGTGATGTGTCGAGGCCGTGGGTGATGCCGTGTTCCTGATGCTACTGACACCTCCGAAGGGTGCTGGAGGATCTACAGTATCAACTAGCGTCGCCATTCTTTCAGACACTCGGCTCTCTGTCCGGCAACCTGAAGTGAGCTGCTCTCTGAAGCCGTGCAGCGGGCGTAGAAGGAGTGGCCCGGGCTTTTATATCCTCAGACTGTGTGTCATAGTGATGAGGAACCGCTGCTGCCTCCTCTCATCCAGCTGATGTCATGCAGCAAATCATAAAACTGCGCGAGACCAATCGGAACGTTGAAAAGCGTTACATAATTAAAGGATGTCCAGGATTTAGCGTTAACGTTGGACTAACTTGTCGACATGTGGATTGCGCGTCAATATCCATAAAAGTTCAGCATTGACGACATAAAACAGCCATACCAATGAAGTTATTTGAAAATGAATAGGAAAACATGTCAAAACAGCGACTCTATAGCCTATTTCTAAAGTATCTCAATAATACAACATAATTCATATTTAGGCTACAAGTATTGATATTCTTTATATTTTGAATAAACTTTGCAGGAGTAATATCGTTTTTATGAGTTCCCAATCTCACATTTGGGCTGCCGTTTTCTTTGCACTGGGTTGTGTATTTCACAAAGTTTGTCTTAAGCATGTCCATTTACACATTTCACTTCCACAAACAACAACAAAAAGAAAAAAAAAATGTGTGTGTATATATATATATATATATACTGTATATATACAGTATATATATTATCATAAAGAAAAGACTATTTTATTTAGCCTAGTGACATTATTTGCATAAAATAAGCCCCTTAATTCTCATTAATGTGGAAAGAATGATATATAAATTATAAAGCATTGATAGGCTACATCAGTGGTTTTGTTGTACTTAATTTATGAAGCAAAATAGTTGAAAATAATGTCACCATGTTGAAACGAATAGTGCTAAAATAGGCTTTATTATTGTATTTTTTCTGTTTTTTTTTGTTTTTTTTAAATATTACCTGGACATGTTTTTGACAGGTGAAATTCACCCATAGTAGTCAACATTTGAAGTGGATCAAAAAAGTTCATCAAAGTTGTCCTAAGACAAGAACGGGGATTGTTTTGGTTTTAGAACAACTTTGATGAAAGGTTTTGATCCACTTCAAATGTTGTGGATTTATTACATTACATTATTTATTATATTACAGTTGTCACATACTGTAATATAACATAACTGTCACCCTCAGTTTTCATATAATTAGTCATCTTTTTACTGCAACGCTTCTCAGGTACACAAAATGGTATCTATAAAAATAATTTAATAATATATTTCCAGGAACATATTTTCTATATTTTTTGTGTTTTTATGTGCTTCTGAAAGACTAACATCTGTCTATATTTTGCTGTGCTCTTCCCACTGATGCAGAAGAGGGTGTTCCTCCTGGTCCCGTCTTGATGATGTCATTTTAGGCAGAGTCATTGCACATATTTTACTGTCCCATTTTAAAGGTGGATGCACTGTAATACAACTGTGTCATTGGGGTTCACCTGGAGCTGTGCGGCAGATTTTGTGCATTTAGCACTCATACGCAGGTTACTGCTGTATATAAGATCGATAAACACACCAATTTATGTATTTGTACTTAAGTTTATGTTGATTCAGTGTTATTTTCATTCGTGATTGTTAATGGCAAATTTGTTTTGTCATGTCACAAGCTAGTTTTATGAACTTTTGTTTTGCATTTCCTGCAGCTGTTTCAAATGAACCTGTTATCTACAGTATGTAAATATTTCTGTAAGATAAATCAGCGTGTCAGTCACTGCAGTTTTGCGCACTGGAAGTGGGGCATGATTCAGCACATCAAACATTCAGTATATTACATCTGGAAAAGTGGAAGCCTGTTTTAAATAATTTATAAGACCACATGTGAACCAGTCAGAGGTGTTTTTGTTAAATGTAGTGTGATAATAAAGTGTGGAAGGGTGCGTGATGTACAGTGACAGAATGGAATATGCAAGAAGAAGTGAAATGTTAATATTGTTAGTTGAGGTGTTGATACTGAAAGTATGTGTAACCACATGATTTTGTATTTCTGTAGGCTATGGTGCTAGTCAAAAGAGAGAGTGTTCAAATTTAAAACAGAATTAGAAGATTACGTTTCCTTGAGTCAATAAAGGGGAATGAAATCGGAATAGAGTGAAGGAAGAGAATGAAATCATTTTAGCAACAATTATGTTAAGTGGTGTCTGTCATGACAATGACATTTGTTGCCATGGTAGCTGTGCCATGGGACCACAGTCAGCCCATCACTGCATGGGGCACAAGATTAAACAATCATCATTGCTATGGAAATGCCCAGTCTGGCATATGAGTGACCGGTGACAAAATATGATATGGTCATGTTTGATCAGTTTTTCTAACAACTAAAAATTACACAGATGTGCTTACAAATGTACTGTCTTCTATAATTTTATTCAATTTTAAGTATTTCTTCCACACTGATATTTACAGTAAACCATTTACTGTACGAAACTCACATACTTTCTTACAACACATGGCAAATAATGTCATAGTTAGCTCCAACACAGGTTATTCCTAGATGAGGATTTATAACAACTTTTGGTTTGGAATTAACAAAGGAATGAAGAGCAGAGCTAGTCTTATTCTGGCAAATCCTTCTGTGTACTAGACACTAACTCAACAGGGGGCACTCTGAGTGTATAAGCACATACCCTAATGCCCACATGCTCCCATTATGCTCCGAGTTTTGTGAAAGACACACACACAGCAACTTATCTAAGCAGTCTTGTGGCAGCATTGTAGTCAAATGCACCTGAAAATAAAATGATCTCAGTGTAATTATTGTGATTAACAAAACATGACATTATGTCAGCCTGTGAAAAGCAGCAAATTACAGGAAAGTCTGTTTTCCTCTGCAGGGCAAGCAGGAAAACAGTATAGCAGCTTGACAGTTTTTGGACTGAATAAGTGTGTGGTGTTTTGATGAGTCAGAAGGACCTCCCACTGACCTGTCTCTACAGAGTGCCTTGCTCTGTCTGAGTCTGCCATCTACACAGTGGTACACACTGTCTGCCTGTCATATTAACAAGCACTATAAATGGGTCAAATAAGGTAAAAGATGGAAAATATAAAATGCAGTTAAAGAGCAATTATAGAGGTGTAAGATAATTAATATAAAATAATATTTTGAATCACTGTCATTATCCAATACATTCCACATTTTTTAAAGATGAAAAGAGGTTTGGGTTCAACAATGCAAATGTAACGTTTCATTTACACTGTGAAAAAAGGACACATCTGGGTTATTGTAGTTAACTAAAACTAAAACCATAAAAAGTGTTACTTAAAATAAAATAAATGTTAACTGAAATAAAATAAAATAAAATATAGCAACCTTTTTATTTCAGCAAGCTGACAAAGGTCATTTCTCATTAGTTCAAACTGATGTACTCAAATAATTAAAACTAAAACTAAAATTATTATTTTTTAATTATACAGGCAAAAGTAAACAAAAAATGTAAAAAAAACCCCCCACAACATTATATGTACACACATATACATACATATTTGATCCATTTTTTTTTTTATTGGTGTAATCAAATGTTGTCAGGTTGATTCTGTCATAAATAATATTTTGGATAAAACCAGTTAATTTTTAAAAAACTTTATGAAGCAACATTACTATGCATTACTATTATGAACATATTTTTACTATGCATATTTTTCATACAGAAAATGTTTACTATGTATTATGCACAATATGTATACTAATGGAAACAGAAAGAAGTTTTCTATTAGGCTATTTCAAACCACAGCATGATTATCTGTGGACCTCTAAACGTGATCTGTTCAAGAATCAGAATGTAATCAGAATTGTGCTCCCCCCTAGTGTTCTGATGAGGTGTCACACAATGCCACAGCGTATTTATAATTCCTCGTTGGGCTTGTACTTTTCACGGCTTCTACAGAATTAGCCTACAAATCCTGCCCTTAAACAAAAATACTTAGTGGTCAGTTCAAAACAAGCACAAGATAATGTGTTTGATCATTCCGGGTGCATATATTTCTTTAATTATTAAAATACATCAGTTTCTTATAGCTGTACATTTTGTGAATTGTCATCTCCTGAGTCCTAGCCTACATGTCTATAGTTCAAAGAGGCTTCAGATTATTATTTATTCAACATGAAATGACAATACTATTGCCTGCAAAATATTGCCTGACCAGTCATAACTGTATTAGCCTGTCTTATGAATGGTGGGACGTTTTATTAATGCTCCACAAGGTGTCACTATCATTCTATCTTGCACGTTCTCCTCTTATGAGTCCTTATTCAAGCACATAGGCCTAGTGATTCGGGGGCTTACGGTGAGCCGTCGTCAAATCAGACTCAGATTCTCTTTGTCAGTAGGCAGTACCTTTAACTACATGTCTGAACAGCCTTTGTTTGTATAAAGGGGATGTGTCATGAGTCATGTTTTATCCAGTCAGTTTATGGCTCTTTTAAAAGAGCTTTTTACTGAGGATAAGGACGCACCTCTTTAGCTCATCTACGGTTTTAAATTAGCCATGAAGTTAAATCTTTTAATTTGCGAATCGTCATGGGTATGTCAAATGATACCCTCATCACTCTTCACATAGTGCCAGACTCCTTGAATAATGATTGGCCTATTCATTATTGCTCAATAGCCAAAGTTTAAAACACTTACATAAGAAAAAAAAAAAAGAAAAAAAAAGAAAAGAAAAAGGTGATTCAGTTTTTTTTTTTTTGCCATTGTAGAAGATTTAAAAGTTTGCCACCCATGATCTAAATAAAAAATATTTTACATTTCTGGTTAAATTTATTTTAAAGGCCTGGAACTATTCGGCTGCATCTAATACTTTTGTACTATCTAGTAGGCCTAGGCGAAAAATAGTACTAGTAAAAAGAGTACTAGCCTATGCCCAAATTCAATGCAACTGACGCTGGTAGATCACTTGACATTTGTAGTACAAGTTAATTACATTCATACTACATACAGAACATACTTTTGTTGCGAAGGTTGCGAAGAAGTACCTCAGACAGTATTTCAGATGCATCTTTTGTCTGCAATGTTTCTAGACAACCCATGTCCATTCCTATTTCATAATCAATTGATGATGTTCAAGGCATGATCACTCAAATGTGTGGACATTTGTTTGTCTCTGTGATAATCAAGCCAGTTAGCCTGATTGAATCTTATTAAATCATATCGAATGGAATTCACATTAAGTACGTTTAGATGTGCACTTATAATTGAGTTACAGGCTTTTGCATAGTTGAGCTGCAGCCTTCATCTGTCTGTCCAAGTGTAGCCTACATGACACATTTATTTCAATATTTGAAGGATTAAATAAACGTTGTGCATCAACTCTTGCTCGGAGCATGCTAAACAATGACGAACTACAATCGTTTTGCATGTTTTAGGTCCGTTGTGTCACCTACATACCACACAATTTTAGCCAATTTTCCACTTGGCGACAGTCTATAGACAGCCAACAAAATTCTAAAATCAAAGTCAAATCAGTGCTTGTTCATGTGAGTGATGATCGCTATATTTGAATGATCAGAGATGCGATCTGAGAGAAGAAAACTGTATGTGTAGTGTGAAAAGAACAGCAATCTGATGAAAGTCGGGTAGTGTACTGGTGACATTAGTTTATATATATATATATATATATATAAAAAAAAAAAAGACTGATACGATTTTAGTCAGACAAAAGTGCGGCTTTTAAATACAAATAGGCCTACATTTTTTAATAATTAAGTGCCATGATTTTATCCTTATCTGTTTCTATTTGATTTCTCCAGAATTCTCCAATCTGCTTGTAAGCACAAGTCCTAATCTCTGTTGCAATAAAGTAAGCACTCAATAAGGAAAAGTAGGCTATCTATGAAAAGCATTGATCGGGTCTCCACGCCAGATAATAAGTAGGATCCAGCCCCGGACGCTAGATCCCGTTAGAAAATATCAGTTTGTCCAGTAACACAACAACTAGTCAGCAGAGCTGTCGATACCCAAACCCTGTTAACAGCAAGTCTTGTCTGGTATCCAAAAATACCCAAAACGAGTGTTTAACAGTCTTCTGTCAGTCAAGAAGTTGACCGAGAAAAGTCAGAGAAGAGCAGAAGCAGGAGACGAAGTGATAATAGTAAAAAAGTAACAGAGTTTATTGAACAATCTTAGCTGCGTATGTCCAAACTTCGTCTGCAGCACAAATTCAACATGTACTGTTATACCAAAACTGCTTCACAGCAACATCCCATAAACCTTGGGTTTCCATAAACATTCCCCATTATCTATCTCTTATTCATACATACAAAACAGTTCATGAAACCCCACAAGCATGAGATTGAACAACAAAGGAAATGCACAAGCAAGGTAAAAATGAATAAGAAATATAAAATATAAAATGTAGAAACAATAAATGAATAAACAATAAAAATACTTAAATGATATAATGATAAATTATAAAAAATAATCAAATAATAAATCATGTGAATGACTAATGATTATAAAATTAATATGTGAATAAATGATTATAAATTAATTAAAAAACGTGAAAATTAAAAACACAACACCACACACAATTTGCATGTGAGGATCTAAGGATCCTTCAGCATTTACACATCCAGTAACTAAAGCTGTGGTCTCATGATAACAGCAGACAGATGTTTTTGTACTACTAACAGTAAGTGAAGTCCCTGAAGATTTCCCTGAAGTGCTTCCAGAAGAGAAGGACTCTAGTATTTAAACACATGAGCTCAGCTAATGCCACCACAGACTTGTTGCCTCTAGTCCAGAATACTTGTGTTACTCATAGTATTAACCCTTGTATTTTTTAATATTCAGTAAAACCTCTTCTCGTGTTCAGTAATGATGCTTGAATGGAGACAGTTTACAGTTTTACAATACATTTTACAATGAATTTAATGTAAGCATGGCTCTGATCAGCATAAGAAATTGTGCAATTTCCTCTGTTATTTTTGAAGGACATCCAATAAATTATACTATTGTACGACATTCAGTATCATTTACAGACATTTTTTAAAAGAAAACATACAGTTGTGATTTATTGCCCTGCACACTTCCACTTGATCACCATCTATAGCAAGTCCACAACACGTTACTCATGAATGAGGATAATTATGATTGTGATAAAGTATCCCCTCCTAATACATAGAACAGAACATCCATAAGGGAGATATTAGTAAAAACAAACAACATGACGCCAGTTTTAAAAACTTTCTCTGCTGGCTATATTTACAAAGGGCTTTACATCTTATCGCCAGTTTATCAAGGTAAAATAATACATGCTTTCTATGACATGAAAACCCATGCAAAATATTTTTTGTTTATATTGTGGAATATCACTCATCCAAATTTAGCATGAAAAGCTTTTCAATAGGCCAAAGTTGTACTGCAATTTGTAAGAACATTGAGGATCAAAGTGCTGCTCCATTAGCAAAGCGGTACAAGTACATTTGTTACTAATAGGCAAAGCATCAGCAGGTCTGGACACAGCACACACACACACACACACACACACACACACACACACTCATAAGGAGATCTCACTGTTCCCACACTAGTTAGTCTGAGCTGGAAAGCACAGTGTGTTAAGTGTGTTGTTTACGCAAAATCAAAATAACGGTTACAATTTTTTAATTGCCATTCCTCTATAATCTCAAGACAAGACTTTCTATATAGCAGTTTGTTTTGTCAAATATTTTAAATATAAAGCTTGTGCAGAACATATGGAACACCTACCTAGAGACTTCATGTGCTGGTGAGAGAAACATCAACCAGCTCAATTCAAGAAGGACTTGCAACACATCTTCAGTCTAATCTACCATAAACATCCCTTCAACTCACTAATGATTGTCTTTTCATCAGCTATTATTTCTTATTGGCTGCCCTAATGAGCTAGAATTAGACTACCATTTAAACCGAAAACCTTAGTTACAATCTGCTGCCATTTTACAAATGCATTCCTACTAACAAACCACGTTTCCAGTATTACACCTTTTCAGAAGAAAAAAACAAACAAAAACAAATCAAAACATAAAACAGTTACCAGTAAATGACACACAATACCTGCTATTTATTCAATTCAATTCAAGTTTATTTGTATAGCGTTTTTCACGATACAAATCGTTGCAAAGCAACTTTACAGCAAATTAAGTTTCTACAATATTTAGTGGTAGCTTATCAGTGGTGACTGTCAGTTAATGTACATATGGCAGAAATGTACGGAAAAATCAATTAAAGACGTAATCAAACAGACGATGAACACTATTAACAGCAATTATTATATGATGCAATCAAACTTATAGCAAAATTTGGTAGTTCTGTATGTTGTTTATCATCATATTTATCATATCATATTTATCATAATCACAATCTGGTACTGCCTGACCACCACATATCTTGCCAGTTATTCATGTAACAGTGTGTTAAACTGCCTATAGGATTAAGCTCTTAACAGATGATTGATTTAATGGGCATCACTGCTGAATTAATAGCACCATGTCAGCTTCTGTTAACACTGGCACAATGCTTTATGCCAAGCATAAAGTATGCTCGATTTCAGACTGAGCATATTGGCTGCCAATGTGTCTCCCACTATGGCACCTAAAAACACACGGCCTGCTTAAACAAACAAAACATGTGTGCACAGATACACCCAACTACACATTCAACTCACAGTTCAGTCATAGGCATTAGATCGGGAAATCTTGCGAGACTAACTGGTCTCAACAGCTGAGAACATTTGCCATTTGCAAAAGCCCACATTCCTTAAAAGTTAGCTGTGAACTGAGACATTACATGTGGATTTGGTTGTGGGTGGCCTCATATGTGTGGTGAGCGGGAATCGTTCAAAATTTCAGCCAAATTGTAATGAGATCATTGACCCCTATTGATGATAGCATGTAGAGCAGTGGTTCTCAACCCGCGGCCCGTCACGAATTCAAATGCGGCCCACCATGCTGAACACAATTTAAAAAAATTACTTTCAGTTTTACAATTCATTTTAGTTTTTACATTAATTTTAGTTTGCGCGGAGAGTGGCAGCTGAAGCGCGCTTTGCAGGACAGAGAGACGCCAGCGCGATCACTTGCGTTTTCTTTCAGTGGATACACCGTCATTTTTGCTCATAAAGGTAAGAGTAATACATCATTCGTAAATAATATTTAGGCTATAATATTATAAATCAGGTTGGTTTGTATTGCTGACGTAATATGTAAATAGCGAGACTTGCACTTGGACCATAGCGCGGCCCGGTGGAAAAAAAGGTTGAGAACCACTGATGTAGAGTATGGCAGGCCTTTGTTCGGGGGAAAGACCGTCTCACTAACTAAAGTTTGGAAGAAAGTTGGGACACTTTAATTTCTCAGAAACACTATTATGTACACTCAGGGGCGCCATGAAGAAATTTGGGCCCCCTTCTTCCTGATGAATGTGTGTGTGTTTGACGTATATAAAAGAAATTGAAAGACACCGAATAAGAAAATGAAATAATTTATTACTTATAATTTCAAATAACATTGAAATATTTTATTTCAAGTAACGAAAATGTTTTTAAGGTTTTAATTTTAGTTTAGTTTTAGTTATATAACCGTGCTTCTGCCTATCGTTGCAGTTTTAACTAGGCTACTATACAACCCTTATTATTTATTTCATTGTTTTTTTAATCATCATTACAAAAATAATTTTTAACAGTTACAATTATTTGTAATTATTTGTTTGTTGTATTTATTTTCCTTTCTTTTCTCAGTACGATATTACAATCTAGGCAGTAGCAATAAAAAAACACAAGCGGCTAAACACCGCAACAAGCTTAACTGAATTAGCGGAACAGAAGTTTTAACTCTACAGTCTTATTATACATTAAAAAAGAACTGGTAGCCAGCTAAATTAAGAGTTTCTTGTCCTAAACTTTTCAGGCATAAAGGTAACATACAATTAAATTTGAACACGTCTTGTTTTCATGCTTGCCCATTTTTCTAACATTTCATCAAAGGCCGTGGATCGTGCAACTGCGTGCTCTATAGTGCCAGATCAGATCGCAGATAATTTTTTATAAGTTTTAGTTTACTGAATGACCTCTCTGCAGAGGCCACTGTGACATGCATAAGGAACACTCTTAACGCAACAACCAAATTCGGGAATAATGATTCAAGGTTTCTCTGAAGAACATTGTTGCATAGCATCTTGCGGATTCTTCTAAATCCTCCTTTGACATTTCACTCATTTGCAAAATGAAACGAAATTTCTCTGAATATTCCCCAGATTTTCAAATCTGGTGTTGAGTTCACTGCTTATGGTGTCATACGCATTACATAAACACCGTTTGTTTGAAATGAAGTTGGGCGTCCTGGTGCCCTGCCTGGTTTATAGGGTGGCCATATTTTAGTTTTCCAAAAAGAGGACAGTGAAAAGCAAGGTTCGTGGGTGGGGCTTCGCCTAACAGTATACATAGCAAGGTTTTGTTGCTTATTTTGTTTTTATAATAAATAAAAAGAAAACAAGTAGAAAGAATAGAAA